CTTGACGGAATGCGTTCCCTCGACGAATGCAACTATGCATCTAATCGGCGAAAAGATAGCAGAGAGGAAAAACAGATGATCTTCCAATTTCGGAGCATCGTTGAACCGAACCTACCGCCGAACCGATGACGCGAATGCCTCAAAATAAGTACTGATTAAAACGGTCGAGCAAGTACCAGAGAGGTACAAGGAAAGCGGTGGAACTCGCAGCTTTACGCTGATGGTAAACACATTCAGTAAGTCACCAAGATCGGCAGAGGCAGATGAAGAGCTCCATAAAGCAGTATTAATTACCGTACGTGGACCGTGTCGTCGCCGATGGATAGTCGTTATCAACGAGCTGTCCTATAGCGCGTGTCTGATTCTGTATGATTGGACTTCGGTTATCTCGATCAACTGAAATATAAAAGCCGCCATGTTACAAGAGAAGCTCTCCTTGAGCACAATGTACAACTTCTGTCAAATAAATGAATTTCTCAGAATCTAAGATTTCGTCTATCATCAGATGTTCGTTATTTATATATGAATACCCTGCGAGTAAAACACCAAAGCGTCCATCAAAGTGCCTAATTATTTCACTACATTTAAATTTGTGAACATAATATAGTTTAAAGTCAACGAGCTGATGCTTATATAGCAAATTTTATATGCAATAAATATCATCGCGCTATTTGCTTCTCGGATGTTTGACTGACGTAACGGGGTACACATTCTATGCTCAAGGAAATTAGTGATTAAAACAAATTTTGATGCTTCTCGGCCATCGAACCAGCGCCTCGGTAGTTCGAAGCCGACCTCTTTATTACTGTATCACCTTGCCTCAGTCCGTTTCTTTCTTCAGTCACGACCGATGATCGACAAGTGATACTTTAGAAATGAATGCGTCACTACCGCAACTGAAATCGTCTTTCCATGATCCGTTGTAAGCTGTGGCAGATTTTGACAAGTATTTTTTGCATTATGATTTATCAATTACAACTCTCCTCCATTCAAAAAAATAAAGGATGAATTGCGCATCGGGGTACTTCTCCTAGAGATCAACCCACTGTCTACGGGAACAATACTCTTGTGAAGAATGCGGAGATGTACCGCGTACGAAGACAGCTTTTCATCATGTACCTGACTGATGACATTAAACATGGAGTAAGGCTACATATACGCAGAATGAATGACATTACGAATAAATGTGAATTAATGTAACTGATACGACAAACACTAGACTCGTACAAGAACAAGCAAGTACGGCAACATGCGTATTACGTCGTCAACTTCCAGAACAAACGACAGGATTTGCAATCTTATTTCTACTGAATTTAGTTTACTTTTCCTTACTGCTATGCCAAACGCGCAATGCCAGTTACCCTTCAAACGCAGAAAGGCGCTGTTCAATTCAATTCATAGCTAACAGTGAATAATTCGAAATTCGTGATCCAGAATCAGTCACTTATCGTTAAGGATCGGATTGTTAGGACCATGCTGGTCTCTCCATAACGTAGTAAAGTCAGCTGAAAAGTGCATGATGAACATCTCCGCGTATGAATTCACTATTTGATGTGACTGACGTAGTAAGAAAGGAGTCCGGCGTTAAAAACAGTTTTGTGGCAAAAAAGACATTATGCTCTAGACAGTAAAATTATTACGACGCGTTTATGCAGTTGATACCAAAATACTACCGAGCCCAGATCTGCTTAAATGGGCATGTAGGCGTCTCTGAGCAAAAAACTATACAAAGTTTCCACGGATTTATTTTGGAAAGCTGCTGTTTCCACTACTTACAACTGAAAAATAGCCCAGAATTGCGGTCTGGCGTTTTAAAACGGTGCCGTGGATTTACGTTGGGAAACGTACTCTGATTTGGCAAAGTCACACTTCCAGTCACACTAGATGTTCCTCATGGATTTATTACCGAAAATTATATTGTCCTCTAACACATGAAAGATTAAAACAAAATTTTATTCTGCTTTCGGATCGCTCCAGCGAACGAAGTGAGTAACCGAGTTTGGAGTTCTTTCGATGGTTTTTTGACGACTGGTAATCATCAGTTGACAGTTGATCTATCGTAATCCTACTGCACTATCGACGTTTGAGGACTCTTTACAGACAACGCTCATGTAAGGCGCCATGACTTTCAACCTGCTCAGATACTACACATTGACATCACCATTAAGGCCGCTTTCAATATGGTACTCGTTTGTTTTAGCGTCAGAGCTTACTATTCATGTGCCTTTTCGAAATTCGCTAATACGAATTCAACGCACCGGTTCACTCCAGAATCAATATCGCAAACATTTGCGGTACTGCGAAACACCTTAAATGATTCACCACTTGCCGGAAACAATTCCGCAGTATTAGCTGGTCGCTATCATATCTACATTTCTGGAGTTGCTCAGATGTTGGATTTTATTTATTTACATTTAATTTTCCTTTGGAAATATTGCTACACAGCTTGAGCAAGATTACTGACTAAAGGTCAGTTAGACATTGTTGCTCAAGCTATTGTTATTCTTCTGAATGATCATATATCGTATCACACAGCTCACGATGCCGAACAACGGAATTCATCTTTGGATTTTTTACTAGCTCGTCACTGACCCTCCGTTTCAACGGCGCATCTGAAATTATGCGTCCTCATCACTGTTGATACCTTAATGCACAAGAGGACGCACAGAACAAAACAAAGATGTGCCAAAATTACTCATTTTTTAAACTATCGAAGCAGTATTAGGAAACAAAATGGCTTTAACATAATACAAAAGCCAAAAATAATAACAATTATGTATGGCGAATGGCGAAAAAATTACAAACGCTTCAACAAACAGAAAACGCGTTCATACGTTGGCAGATCAGAATGAAAATGATCGCGGTACCAGATGCAAAAGCTTTACAACAGAACATTGCACTGAATGAGATCTGAAACGTTTACAAAAATCATCATCGAAACTTGTGCAAAGAAAACTAGCAACTAAACAGGAAACAGCCGATGATGCTTTGCACCTAAAAAAAAAGATATGCAAAAGATGCATTCAAGTACAAAGTCCGCTGAAATAGCGGCAAATATATTCCTCGGTTTCGTGTTCTAGACAAGCTGTACAGTGAAGCGTTCAAAGTGAACAGTCGAACGCAACGGAAAACGAAACGGTCTAAACAAAGATTCACACATCAAGAAATCAAAACCGAGCGCACACGAAAATCAAAGAAAACCCTAAATAAGTTTGGCGAAGCAAAAGTGGCCAATTTCAACCGGTGGATGGTGACTAAGAACGCATACCTACGATCAGGCACAGGCATCATCACGTTCACGGGATAAGTGACGTCGGTCACGTGATCAGATTTTGTCATAGCAGACGCACCAC